TTAGATGAATCCGAGCGAAAAGCGGTTTCTTGGGAGTTCCATTCCTTTATGAGACGGCTGATTTCTTCCCTCCCCTCAATATAATGACTGGCAACGTTCTATTCCGATTCCATTTCAGGAAGGGGAATGTTTATAACGGATGGCGGAGCCCGTATCGAACCATATGCCATCTGACTCTTCGCTGTGGCGTTGACGAATGGTCAGACGCCCACATGAATGATTTCCATGCAAATTAATTCTCACGGTGTTGTTACTGTTTGAACTTCACGCGGAGTTTCATATGCTCTTCGTCAATACAACTTCTTCCACTTTCACATTGCACCTCTTAAATTTTTCTAATTTATGTTAATTTACTGCAGGACTATGAACAAATGGATACGGAAAAAATCTCATGTCAAAACTCCCCGGAGACCTGTTTCCATTTGCAGACTTAGAAAGGTGAAAGTCGTTTGAGTCTACCACATCCTTTGCCCTTTCCCTATGCCCGATAGTTCCAGACACTCCAGATGTACTATGTACTCCAGATGAGCTTTCAAAATTTCATACAAACCAGCTTGAAAGTCGACGGCATGGCGCATACGAGATGAAAGCACAATCAAAGCAAAATTATTTGGTTTTTTGTGGACTAAATTTACATCGGAGGGCGTTGTAGCCTTGATTAAGTCACGAACGGAAGTAATTTCCCCTAAACCCCTATAATAGGTTCAGCATAAAGAACTAACTGACGCTCGCTTTCATCTTCGTCGATGGCGATGACCTTTTCGGCGATTCGAACGACGAACGCCGACCGGTGCCACGCAGCGTTCAATGCCGTCTACGGAGGACGGACAGGATGTGTTCGATGCAAGTACGTTGGTCGGCCACAGCAGCTGTATCCGTCTTTCACGATAGGATGGGAAGAACCCAGGAGCCGCATCACCCGCTTGTCTGATCCAGTTCAGAAGTATGCGTGATGATCTTGTTGTTTTGATAGCTTTGAAATGACTTTTGAACACAAACACCTCCTGCTCAAACAGCCGGCAAATACGATAAAATCTTCTGTTGGCCAATTCAGGCAGATGCTCTAATGGGCACATAAAGAAGCCGACACGGTGCCTCCTATTGGGCTCCAAGATATGGCCCCATGTGACGGCCCAATCGTACCGTCTGTTATAGGGACCATTGTCTGAAATCGGCCCAGTTAGCTTAGCCCAAGACATATTTTCCTACCCACAGGGCTTGGGCAAACCCGTCCTATTAAAATTCACTATCGATCTTAGTTTTGTGAGGTATGTATTCGAAAGGAAACGAAACATTTTGGTATATAGATATAGATGGATATCTAGCACTAAGACATACGGTAGCGCCCAGGAAATTACAATTGCCAATGCCTAACCTACATTACTGTTACTGTTTTCCCACAGAAAAAGATCTTCTTTGAGCGAGCATTATTGCGTCGCCCTGGTTTGCGGGACGGATTCTTGAGACATTGCGGATGGAAGGACACCCCGGACAACGCGGATGGAAGAACATCCCGGACAAATTCATCCGCCAACACAGACTCCGCCCCCATGAGCCACCCATGAGCCATCGAACATAGCATTCAAACAGTTAATCTCAGCAATTATTTTGAGAGTGGGAACCCTTGAGAGAATTTTGGTGAAGGGAAGTGAAGGGGCGGAAGTGGTATAGTGGCAAGTGGATATTACCACAGGGTTCGAATCCTGGATGGATACTTGAAAAGGCCTTACTTTCCATACCTGAGCAATCGACTACTCGTTTGGCTTGAACACCGTCTGGCCACCGAGAGCCACTGTACAGGCCACATTCAAATCACCACTACGAAACTGAATGAGAGTGGAATGCGAGGCGCATTCCAAACACGAGGTTGATTGAGGCCAAAACTTCAACCTTCATTCTATCGCGTAGATATCATCCTGTCTTCAACCAAGCAGATAGCCCCAATACCGATTTATCCACTTCCTGGTAGTTCAGCGCGTCTGCGCCCTTGAGGCCCTAAGTTTAGACCCTGCCAAGCCGAAAACCCAAGCACCAGGGGTGTATTTATAATGAGATTAGCACCTAGACAAAGTGCTATATCTGGGAACTCTACTGCAACCCTACAATAGGACCAAAACAATGTCCCTATGAGCAACTGCTAGTTTCGAATAAACTGATGCGATTGTTACCTGGGAATATGCAGAGGTATAGAAAATTCGAGAAATGTCTCCGGTACCCGTTCAAACGGATCCACTGTGGATTCGTTCGTTCTATAAGGAAAGGCGGAGTCGCTGGAAAACTTCGTAATATCGCTGCTCCAGAGGACACCGGTTCCTCACTATGACCCCCACAATTCAAAGTTGTAAGATTAGACTGTAAAGTAACAACTGATTAGCCTTTGGAATACTGCCAGTAGCATAGGAAGGAACTATAGGATTGAGTTTCATACATGGCTAAGATCGAACCCCTACATGGAATGCGATATATTGACGGCGCCTGGTCGCTATTGCGTGCTAAATACACGAAAACCAGTTTTAGAGGGTGCCTACACCCTCGGGTAAGGCTCGTGGGTGGGAGCGGGTGGTGAGCATGTCGTGGTCCCACGACTCGGCGCGCTGGCGACGAGTCATACGGCGGCGCGTTTGCGTCGCGGCTCTTGGTATTCCTTGAGAGTGCCGTTGGGGTGGTCGATCATTGGTGCTGTCATGATCGCTCTTCGAAATTTTTCTAGCTCTCATTGAAGTTTTTAGATTACTTCAAAGTTGTAAGATTAGACTGTAAAGTAACAACTGATTAGCCTTTGGAATACTGCCAGTAGCATAGGAAGGAACTATAGGATTGAGTTTCATACATGGCTAAGATCGAACCCCTACATGGAATGCGATATATTGACGGCGCCTGGTCGCTATTGCGTGCTAAATACACGAAAACCAGTTTTAGAGGGTGCCTACACCCTCGGGTAAGGCTCGTGGGTGGGAGCGGGTGGTGAGCATGTCGTGGTCCCACGACTCTGCGCGCTGGCGACGAGTCATACGGCGGCGCGTTTGCGTCGCGGCTCTTGGTATTCCTTGAGAGTGCCGTTGGGGTGGTCGATCATTGGTGCTGTCATGATCGCTCTTCGAAATTTTTCTAACTCTCATTGAAGTTTTTAGATTACTTTCTAGTGGGGAGGTTTGCTCGGGTGAAGTTTAGGGTTAGTCAGTTGGGATTTCAACGTTTAGTGAGAAGGTTGCGAAATTTTGACGAAGTTTCGCCGTTAATTCCCATCGTTTCGTAACAATCGGAGAAGCGTCGCTGTTCAATGGCTGGTGGGTTCACTGGAATTTGCTCAATTTCCAAATAAATGGCGAACGTTGCTTATAATTTCTTTTATAAGTCTTACAATTAACAATGTTACTCGGTTTGTTGCTGTATTATATTCGTTATCGGTTGCCATTTTTTTGCTAGTAACAAGTGATTTATGTGTCGTGCTGTACTTCACCTTTATTGCAAATTTCTTGGCATCAGCTGTGCTCTATTTTGTATGCAGAGTGGAGATTCATGTAGGGATGGGTGGAACACTCCCTCTTTCGATCATTCTTCTTAGGAACGTTCTGAAGTGATTTTTCTGACCAGAACTTCTTTAATAGCATACTGTGTGATCCTTTTTTTGGTTTTTGACGTGTTTCTTCTCCCTCAGCCATTTCTGAAGCGATGTGCCTATACTAAAGCCGCTTGTTATCACAACTTATGTCAAAGCTCTTCATTTCTCCTGGAATCTCCGAATTCGATTTCCGAATAGAAACAATCACAGAAAATCGATTCATAGTATATCCAGATGCAGACGATCAAGTGTGTCGTAGTCGGTGACGGAGCTGTGGGAAAGACATGTTTGCTCATTTCTTATACAACCAACAAATTCCCGTCTGAATATGTGCCTACTGTGTTCGACAACTATGCGGTAAATTATTTGTGTTTCTTTGCTTTGCTAGCTTTTTTTTTGCTTTTTTTCCCATTTATCGAGTATTGGTCCCGTCTTTTCTTCCACTGTGAACCGGAGTCGTTTGGAAACCGTTCTCGTTCGGTGAGCGGCTTCCCTAACATGAGGTTTTCCTCGAAAAGTTGGAGTTGAATTGGGAAGGATTTGAATTTCTTGTCATTAAGTAGGAGGCGAGATGTCATGCTACATGGAGATGGCCTAACCTCAATTGAAATCTACAAGAAATGGTGAGGGTTGAGTAGGAATACTTTGCCCAAGCACCTGGGCATATTTCGTTGAATTCCAGTTATGAGGGCTCTACGAATAATTGTCGGGACAGGGTTTTGAGCAAGGTAGAGAGGATGTTGCAGCACCTTTACAGCATACTTGAAAACACTGATTCCCTCAAGCGAAGTATTTGATCTTGAGGTGGAACCAACCTGCTGATTTCATGGATATCGCAACCCTCCTTGATCAAACTTAATTTACTTGAGAGATTAAACACCGTTCTGTCCTCTCCATCTTTGTGCCTGATTAAAGTGATCTTTTTTTGCCATTTGGGTGTCTATCTCGCTTTCTTATTATGTTGAAGTAGCTCCTGTTTAGGTGACCGTTATGATTGGAGGAGAACCATACACTCTGGGATTGTTCGATACCGCTGGGCAGGAGGATTACGATCGCTTACGACCATTGTCTTATCCGCAAACGGATGTTTTTCTAGTTTGTTTCTCCGTGGTCGCTCCGGCATCATTTGAGAACGTTCGTGAAAAAGTGAGTTCTCAGCCAATCCTACTGTATTTGAAGTACAACCTTGATTTAATTTCAGTGGGTACCCGAAATAGCTCATCACTGTTCAAAAACGCCTTTTCTGTTAGTAGGAACGCAGGTACGCAGACAAATAAAGTTTTTGAGAAGTACTTTCGTTAAATATTGATCCCATTTCAATGAGAGGAACACAATTTTGTAATGAGACGAAGTTGCGTCTCACTTTGGGACGTTTCGACGAGCCAGCATTTTGTGTAGAAGTAGTGTGTACATTTTATTATCACTTTGTAGAATGTAGTACCTTCGCAGTGAGGAACTGTAGGTGTAAAACACTACGATTTCTGTCAATCTTTTTTCCCAGAAGAAGTTTTCGTCAATACCGCTTTACAGTAGAATTTATCTAAATTTCTTGCGCAAGAACGAGTTTCTGTTAATCCTCTGTTCCTGTACACAAAGGCGAAGGGAACAAGTAGATGTGACATCGAAGAAAGAGGAAAAATAAAGCAACCGATTCATTTTGAAATGCTTCCAAATTGTTTTGTCGGCTGATCGCCGTTGTTTGTTATGGGTGAAAGGGAAATATATTCACGATGATGGCTCATCAATTTAGAAGGGTGTGGTTGCTTTGATGTATTGATCAATTGATAATTCCTTTTCAGGTGGACTTACGTGATGATCCTTCTATGTTGGAGAAATTAGCAAAAAATAAGCAAAAACCGATTTCTTCAGACACGGGAGAGAAATTGGCGAAGGAGTTGAAGGCAGTTAAATATGTCGAGTGTTCCGCTCTCACTCAGGTAGTTTTTTCTGCGTTTCGCTTGAATTGTCAACGGTTGCGTCTGTCTCGTGAGAAAGATGTTTTTTCGACTAAACTCTCATGAGCAATGAAAAAATTTGAAGAATTGTTCAGTTGGAAGGGAACTGCTAGATTGTCTGATGTTGTTGCTTTCACCCTTTTTTGATCTTTTCTAACAATGTTGCTGGCATACTGCCTATAATCGTGAAATCTAACTGTTGCAAATTGCTCATATTTTTTGATTTACGAAGAAAAAAGCTTTCGACTTCTCACGTGTTCATTACTTAGGAGCGCTGAGATGAATTCCTCTGCCGTAATTAGAACTTATTACAGAGTTTCCGTGGGATCACTTGAAAATCATATGTATATTGTTTTTAGAAAGGGCTGAAGAATGTGTTTGACGAGGCAATAATGGCTGCATTGGAACCACCACCAATGGAGAAGAAGAAGAAGTGTACGTTGCTGTAGTAAACGTACTCGGTTGAATGGCATATATTAAGGAAAGGAATTTTGTCGTTGTTTTCTTAAGCAAACTTCAGTAAACTATGTTCCGTTGTCGTTGATCAACAACTTTACTGGCATGTACTGTATTCTGAGAATGGCACGATTTAGTCTCACTGATTCCTCTCAAGTGCGTGTATTCTCTCCCTGGCGCGTCTGGTTACTGTATGTTGAATGTGACTCTTTAAACCGCTCTGTTCTATTATATAGGATTTGCTTGATTCAAAAACTTATTATATCTCTATCATTAACGTTGACTGCCTTTTATCATAAACGGTTTTGAAGGAGGCTGTTTGACAAAGGTTGTCTTGTACGTAACAACTTTATTAAATTAACATTTTGTCAAAGCATTATGTTATATAAATATTGATTTGTAAATACTGTTAAATTTGCAAGAAAAGCAGATATAACACAACAACTATATGTTTTTGGTTAAATATATTATGACTTAGAGCATAGACTACATGTGATGACTAGAATACTACCAGGTAACGGAATACACACAGTGAGCAGTAAAAGGCTGGCACCGATCTCGCAGAAATTTGGAATGAAGCAAAGAGGATTTGATCGCAGTTTAGACAGCATGAGAATCATCGCTGACAAGAGAGAGGCGTTGTAGTGTGCTCAGGCGAGTATAGCTCGAACGGACTTTGGAGTGGAGGCTTGAGTAAAATGCTTTGAAGTGTAGCGTAGAGCGTTCAGCAGAGCTTCAGTCTGAGAAAATTCGTTGTAAGTGTACTCGAAGATCATCAGCAATGAACCAAAAGGAAGAAAGTGAACCTGTGGGGGCTGCGTTTGTTCCTTAACAACATTCACGACCGCTCGAAGGTTTATAGGCGACTCTCTCACGAATGCACCATTTTCATCAATATGGTCGTACAAAATGAGACATCCAACCATTACACGAACACAAAACAACCGTGTTGCCTCTGTTATACGTTCAGCCACCTCCGCTGATCCAACCATATAGCGACACACACTGAAACAAAGCACTATCTGTTTACATAATACATGTGACACTCTAAGGACTGAGCCGCTGTGAAGACCAGAATAGCAAGTCAACATGAAAATAATCAAACTTCCACAAAATAGTTTCTACCTAACGATTGTAGCCAAAGTATCCGTTGTGTTCCCGATTGGGAGTGTTGGATGAGATCGCACAAATTCCAATGTTGCGGAACTCAAGCTAGACAACATTGGAGTGGGAGCAGCAAGGAATAGCGATATAGAGTTTGCAAGTTCCACTTCCCTAAACAAACAACGATCACTAGGAATAGGCAAACTGGCACTGAGAGAAAAAAATACAAAAAAAAAACCAACGAAGCGCTGTTGTCGAGTAGTCCCAATCCAATACCACGTCGATAATGACTGAAATCATTCTGCAGAGCAGGTGTGCACATCTAAAGTAATTACGCAGTAAAAATCCAATGCATCGCCAATTACGCTCTATCAAATACCATCATCCATCAATCACATCAAAGGAACAAAACTAAGCGCAATCAAAAATTCTGACTGGTTTACACAAGTTCCATAAAAGAATAAAATCGCATGAAAATATGCTGAGAAATGAACAAGAGTCTACCCCGCCAACTTTAAAGAACATTCGCTTTGGTGTGGGATAAAGTTGAATTCTCAAACAGAAACATTCTCTTCCACTTGAGAACTAACCTTAACAGCCGCCAGCCTAAGTACTCCCAATGGTTACGACGGATATGAAACAAACAACTCCCTAAGCGTCTTACATGAACATGAAAACAGGTTGAAATCGCGATTAAAGAAAAACCAAGCACTCTCAGCCGATGAACACAAAACCAAAGCAAGCATAGAAGAAGAGAAAATGGCTGACAAAAATATAACCAAACCTTTACTGCATCAAATTCCAGGACGAAGTCAACTAGACGAGCTAATTGTCTAGCTAGTGCCTGTTTCCTGTCCAACTGTTCTTCTGGGGGGAGTGGCCCAGAACATAGGTCCCACAGCAACTCCGGCACCAACTGAAGCGTAACATTACCAAGTTTAAGATGTTTTATACATTCAAATTTTAGGCTATCCCAGAACTTGACCACCCCTTCTAAATAAGGCCTGGTAGGGAAAGTTTCTTCAGCAGATATGAAAAAAAGCATTAGAAAACTGACCTTCTCAATCCTGAGAGAAAGCTCGAAGTAACAACGTATCCGTGCTACGAAATCAGCGACCACACTGAGAGTTAAATCCCTTAAGGCGAGGTCATGCGGATTCTGTAGGGACTGCCGAATTTCGTCCGTAGCCCCTTAAGAGTTTGTTTAGGTTTGTAGCCTTTGAAAATGCCACCTGATATCAGCATTTCGATTTGACAACGATTACTAACACCTGTTCTGTAAGGTCGGTCGTATAAATGAAGAAAGTATTGGGGGGTATCGAAGTAAAACTGTCTAAATTGCTCTTTTCGCAGTCTAAAAATCACCTTTTCCATAGCATTTCACATCAGCAAGTACTTCCGAACACTGATTTATTATCTTTTCGCAGAGATCAAACAAGTAGCGTTCTTCTTCACGAGGTGAAGCGTTTTCAAAATCCAAAAATAACTGTAAAACAACCAAAATAAAAATGTTCACAGAAACAAGTAATAAATCATCCTCCCACCTCGATGTACTCGATACTGCCTTGAGATCCATCACAATGTGACCGTATGATAGACCGCACTACTTCTCCACATGATCCTCCAGTCATTTCAGATGTTCAAAATAGTTTGTCACTGAGAGGTGTTTGTGGCAGCGCTCAATATCTCATGACACTTTTCTAGAAAGAAAGGTAAGAAAAAAATGTCCAGGTAAAAAGTATCAAGTATACAGTATGGAGCGAATCGGCGACAACCCAAATAGGGGAGCGCGTTAGACAGGAATATTCATGGGGAATGGCCTACGTCATGGAAAATGTGGAAAAACAAGGGAATTTACGGTAAATAGCACGGGACGTGCGTCGACGCTACCCGACAACTGACATCATCGTTCGCAGCTGTCTCGTCCCTCTCCTTCATTGTGTACCCTCGGGATCTCTCGCTTTGCACTCTGCATGTCCAACTCTTGCTAAAGTAGGAACGGATAGGGTGGATATGTGCAAGATGTCCGTAAGCCAGCTGTGTTTAGGGAGGTGAAGCTTCTCATCAAAGTAAACTGCTAGTAATCATGGTAGATGCTTTCACTGAGAACTATGCTGGTCGACCGGTGAGGAAGGTATTCTGCAAAAGTGAGCAAAGCTCCTTAACTGTTGGTTACTCCACGACAACTGCTTCACCTCACAATATTGACCTTCTTGGAACTATCTTCTTCTACCTCAGCTCAATCAAATCCACATTAATAGACATCTTTTTACCACAAGGTAGGCGCTGACATCTTATTTCTCCCAAACGGTGAAGTCTAAGCGACTTATAACTTTGAAGACGTAGAGAATAGATGATTACCCTCAAAGTACGGTTATGAATACTCCACAGAGCCATTCTGAGTCAGAACAGGCAACAACTGAGTCGAGAGCTACTCATAAGGTTTGGGGGGGGGGGGGGCGACTCTCTGATGCTGGGGCGGTGTAGAGGTGCCACTACCGCCTAATTCGGATTTGAGCCGGTGTAGCACCGTTCTGAGGAACCGCGGAATATCGCAAGAGATTAGATTCGCGTCGGTCGCGAGTATCGCAAATTAGCAAAATCGATCAGTACGTACGAAATCCAAGCAGCGAAATCAGCTGAACCGTGCTTAGCTGCAATGGATAGGAAAACATAGATTCGGATGGCTCGTGGTAAATCCCCTTTCCGTGGTCACATCTATCACCTTCTTTAGCTCAAAATTATTACACTTCAGTAGAAAAAAGTTAGTAAAAGTGAAGATTGCAAGCGAGAAAATAGGATTGAGACATTTAAGCGATGAGATCTTTCAGGCTATCCATATTCCGTAAGTGAGGATTATCTCCAATACCAAATATGGGATACCTTACAAGCCTTTGCAAGTTCAATGACGGGAGCCTTGGCCACCGAAGCTGTTCTGAAAGGAGCTGGAGTAGGAGATCAGGTAATACCGTTATTTCAATGAGTCTAAGTCGAAAGTAGAAAAGCTGTGGAGTACAGCTGTGGAGTATATACCTATCACCAGCTGTTGTACCTGTCTTCATAGGCCACAAAGCTTCAGTAACAAAGTCAAACGCTTAATACGTACTTATGTGGACGGCACAGGTACTCATTTAAAAATGCAACCTTAGCCAGAAAAATCAACGTTTTGCTCAGCCTTGTAGTACACTTGCCAGCAGCTATTGCTATTCAATGGTCGCAGGTTTGGACGGAATACTACAAAGCGTTTCGTCCAACAGATTGGCTACCAGCCCTCTATTGCCTAGTTTGTTATGGGAGCTGTGCATTGCTCCTTGAGAAACATTAAGTTGCTCGGTTTCAGACAGCATCTGCTCTAGCAGCTTCTCTTACTTGGCTGGCGAAAGATGGGTTGGGCATGGTTGGACGAATTGCATTTGGCTTCTTCAAAGGTATAATAGATACCGTTCTTTTTGTTATTTGCACAGGACGATATTAAATTCCCCCACTTCCCTCTTCTCTGCGATTCTCTTTGAAATAACCACCTTTTCTAGGATCGGAACTTGATTCCGACTGTAAAAAGTGGCGTCTCGTTGCTGACATTATGAACGATTTGGCATTCTTTATCGACCTTCTTTCACCGGCTTTTTCGGGTTCATTTTTTGTTTGTGCCTGCACGTCGTCTATACTGCGATGTGTTGTTGGTGTAGCCGGTGGAGCTACGAGAACTGCTATCATTCAACATCAGGTACGATTTCCCATTATGGTATGCTGCCAAGAAATTCGAGTTGGATGATAATCAGGCTCGTCGAAACAATCTCGCAGATGTTGCCTCGAAGGATGGCAGTCAAGAGACTATGGTTAATGTGACCGCGCTTCTTGCATCGTTCATTTTGTTACCTTTGGTCAGCGGAAAGCAGGCAATCATTTGGTTACTGTTCCTGGTGGGTTTTAACAGTTGCCAACTTCTTCAAATAGTTTGTTCAATGTGCATTACATCATGCATGCTGTTTCCGCAAAGTTTGGTCAGGCAGTAAAGGTTCCCTTACAATTTTTTTTCCTTCTTATGAGTCGCCCCTTGAAGAGCTCTCAGTTAGCTGAGAAACCTTTATGAGCGGGACTTTTGGTTCTGCCATGTTCGACTGTCTACGAATCTCAGCATTTCGTAGGGATGGGCATGTGGACAAGGGGGTATGAGGGTCTCTGAAGTGAAGGTATCTGGCGGTAAACGCAACTTCAGAAATCAGCAAGCCATTCGGGTTGACCATTGAAGGCTGCCTTTTCCACCTTGTGTCATTTCTGAACGTTTAAGGTTTTCACTCTCATACATTTATATGCAAACTATCGTGCTGTGCGCTCGCTAAATATGGAAACCTTGAATCTCAAACGAGCCACTTTATTGATCAGGTTTGTAAAGCAATGTGAATCTTTGTTTATAATTCCGAGCTTATGCATCATCTCATTTCGTAGGTCGTGGCTAGAATCCGGCAAAGTTATGTCTGTAACTGAATGCAACAAGAGGGAACCACTATTTTCATCGTTCGGTACGAGATACCTCGGATGTTCTCTGTCACACCTGCTGTCTTATCAAAACAAGTAAGTTTGTGGAATACCCTTTCGAATCTTGACAAAGAAGGCATACTACTCGAAAGCTGTCTCTGGTTCAGAATCCCTTCTGCGAAACTAAGAACTACTGACGCGTATACGTTGCTCATCGACACTCGAAGAAATATCGGTTGGATAGCCTTAACAGATAATGGTTCGGAACATTCATCTCTCAAAGCCATTTTCGACTTGGAAGCTCTGGCAAGAGATGCGAACTGTTCTGAAAAAGACTTCAACTCATTCTTGGATCAACTAAGCGCTCACAAGTGGAGGACCGATGGGAACAACCTGGGCTTCGATGAGTGGACATACAGTACGAAGTAGTTGTAGTAATTTAGATCTTACAAACAAGGATAGGATCACGTCTATCTACCTCGCTAAATATCGAAGCTTAACTGGGTACAGAAATCTTTAACCAATGCTTTTCGTTTTTGTATGTGCTATTTTCGACGATAGCTGGGTTCTAGAAGTTTTACGGAATTGTGATTTCTATCATTTTAGGTGCGTGTATATAGCATTGAATAAATTTCTAAAGAGTCAACAGCGGTTTTGACCATTTGCTATTTTGAAAAACTTCTAGATTTTGAATTATTGAGCAGAGTCTGAGCGATATGATAGACAACAATGACCGAATCAAGGATACTCTGCTCAAATGATTCGATTCCATACTGTTGAAGCCTGTCTGGTAGTAAGCTTTTCAGGAAGGCAATGTTCCGTTTACCCAAAACACCGATTTCTTTACAAATTTACAAAGTTAAGGTTCTGGTGCCGATGGATTAATACGTGAAATAAAAATGTATACTAGAGCCTGTTTTAATATTCGCGGTGTAATGGAGGTTTTGAGCACATAATGACCTTCGAGAATCGGCAACATGCCAATTCATAAAGAGAGGTTTTATGAAATGCGGTCACCATTTTGCAACGCTTAAAGTACTGATTGACATGAAAATGTNATGTGGCGTTTTTACTTCGAAAGAAACTCAAACAACACGATGCTTAAACAATAACAATTTATCATAACGGTAAACAATTTACTCGCTCTCCTCGGTGCGGATGCGTGCATGACCATTTGTTAACTTAATGTTCAATTGTGCAGCACGTTCGACAATAGCTTTCCTTGACTGAGCAGATACAGTATGCGCAACCTCGCCGATGTATCGGAAGGATTGCATGAGAAGCATGTCGAGATCCTGAAGTTTCACAATGTACTAGTAATAGCTAAACTTCATAATATTTAAAGCGCGGTCATAAAGAATTATCTATCACTGAGAGTTTATAACTAAATTTGCTAAGTTTCGTCGATGGGAGCAACATCAGATAAAGGAACCCAGTCAGGAGAGTTATTAGCATAGGAGAACAAATTTGATCTCAGTTCCAGAAAATGGAAAAGTTGGTCAGTCACCTTAACATTCCTGACGAGAACCTTTTTGTAGCCACATGGAAGTACGAATCTTGTTCTCTTGTCTGATCCGAAACCAATGGTGGGCATAGCTCGCATTCCTCGGAAGCGTCGACGAACACGGTTATCAATACCCTTTGGCTTACGCCAGTTGGGCTTCAGCCGGTGATACCTGAAAGACTGAGTATGAAAACAGAATAGAACCGTTCGCGATGACGAAATGATGCTGAGACTAATGCCGACTTTGAAAATGATAACATAATTGCTTAATCATAACAAACCTCTCAGACTCATGTCTCTTGAACTTCGTCACCTTCTTCTTTACAATTTTCACTTTAGTACCGGAGACGGTCACCATTCTTACCCTGAAAATGCTAAAAAATACATTATCTTAGTAGCAGATCACCTCTACAAAATATCCCAACGAAGTACCATGTGAAAACAAGCGCGCATATACCCTAACGTAATAAAAAGATAGGCTACACTACTAAATGGTCTCTTTCAAGTGAGCTGAGATTAACAACTAGCTATTTAAAAAACATAGCTGCCGAGAAAAAACTTAAAAAATCCTGCAATATTGATAGACTCGGGCAGCAAATGACGGAGAAAAAAACCTTAAAAATTAGAGGAAAAACATATGGACCAACCAAAATATTCAAAGTGTTCTAACATACAAAGACTTAAACAGCAGAACATTTGCAATTAGCTACCGAAAACAGACAATTTTCTTTTGGACTACTAGGCAAAATCTCAACCAATTCCTTAACAGACATTGGCCAATAACCAGAAAAGCTTTTCATGAAACAGCTCCAAAAAAATTATGTTGGCATAACTCACTGCGATCAGATTCTCGGTAGATTCAGGCCTTACCGACACCCAACCGAAGGACGNTAACGTTGCGCTCGCTATTAGTTCGATTGGAGCAAGCAAACTCAAAGAGAGAAGAATCTTACAATGGACCTTGCTCTTTCCAGTGCTTTCCAAACTTCAAAATTAAAGCAAGCACACTAATAGAATTTTCTGTACTGCTGGAAATGAGCGTGAAGTAGGACTTGTTTTACCCTTTGAATATTATAGTTGTGCATGTCATCCCAAAGATAGAAAGGAAGATTTCTGCTGTTACGGAGTCGAACTGTTTTCACTTATCCAACAAATGGTAGCTCCTGTTTATGACTTTTTTTGAAAGTCGTTGACAATATGGAGGATTTTTTGCATCTCGCGGAATTGTATGGGCTGGGCTGTTCTCAATCCTGAATTGGTTCCCTGAACCATGCCTCTGGTAGTGCACGACTCCACCTGGCTCTGCAGCACCTCTGCCAAATAACACTTTGCTGCTTCACAAGTAACAATTCTATAATCGGTGAGCGGCTTTTGGCTCCCTCACAGGCTCATTCAACTTTACGATGTTCTTGATGGTTAGCATGACCCCTCTAAACGCTGGAACTTGTGATGACGTGGTGGTGCAGTGGCAAGGGGCGCACTGCACCACCACCTCACTATCAAACGATGATCCGAAGATCGAAACTCAAACACGGACCCATACCCGCTTAGGGCAAACAAAGTGCCATCCCTCTGCGAAGGATTAATTGCAACCAGACTCATAAAGTTATTTTGAGGTTTTTGGCGTTAATCAATCCCGTCTGAGGGATGCGCCCCGCACC